GTTACAAAAATAATGTGCCATCATCGCAGATGCCAACTTATATCTTGTGATGCGTCAGGAGAATACTAGCAAACGACTTCAGGTATTTCGTAGTAAGCAGAATGCAGTGCATGATCTAGGGACAACGCGACACTAACTTATAATCATTGACGTAACCAAGACGTCTTCGATTAAGTACAAGGAGGGATTTCTCACTCATCGTAGTTTATTTGTTGAATATATTCCATAGCTGCTTCATTTTGTGGATGTTACGTACTGAGATCGTGGTCGACAGACCGGTTATACTAACAGGGGATTCTCCTGGCTTTCCTCAGTCCCCCTACTCAAATTCCGAGATATAAAATTAAATTAGGCCACGATCGTTTCATTCCACAACCTTTTCAATTCGATATTCACTAATGATCTTTTCATATGACGATATATAATCCAAATTATTTAATACGACATTAAACAAACTGAGAATAAATAAAATAGAACACAACCGGTTATGTGACTGAATGAGGTGACCAATTCACATGCTATTTGTAGTCGATGGTTTGAGGATTTCCCCCTGCCAGACATTAACTTTCATTACAGCCCTATAAGCTCGACATTTTATAGAACACAATTAAGCATCTTATACGAACTTAATATTTTCGAAAGAAGCACCGAAATTCACAGTATTGTTGTTACGACTTCATAGCAACGAGGTGCGTCGTTTGGGACTCCCGTTAAATCCTGCCTTTTGTCGGATGATACTTTAAAACAAACGACGAATGATGTTTTAAATCAAATGTTTGTGAAATGGTTGTTGTGCGGCACTGTATAACATAAAACTCGAAGGCGATGGACAATCACTCCGCGTACGAAACACACGCTTACAAAGCGTCCGATAATGTCTCTAAACATGGAAGCTAAAATGACAGGAGAGTAGGATTTGAGGTTTTCACAGCGGTGAGCCCGAAGGCGGCTGTCTCATCACTCATCGCCCTGATGATGGCGGCAGCAAGGACTTTTGAAACGTTGGAAAAATTCTGGGAGTACTACGGCGCTACAATCCAGAAGGCAGCCATCTTCAAATGAGACTTACAGGCGTCATATATCTCTTACAAACTTTAGTAGGCAGTTTCGAAAGACTTGCGGTCATTAATCCGCATTGCAGTGTTATTAAGTACCACGCTTTCATAACGAACGCACGTCCACTTTAAAAAAACTGTGTTGTCACGCCAGGCCAAAGACACGGATACGCAATGGGGAAAGTTGGTCCATCAGCATAATGAAAATGGAACAAGGGGATGCCACAGCGCACCACACCCAAAGAATCTATAAATCGTAGATCACTGCTTTTAAACTTGTGGGTCGCGACCCAGCGATCATTTAATCAAAAGCAGTTCACCGTTTAAGTGATAAACGTGGGCTTCGTATAACGAAAACTTTCAGGCTGTGACATATGCCGTTTTGGCGCTCAGATGTTCCGTACCTCGTAATTTCATTTACGACGCGCAGGAGCGGAAGCTGCGCAGAAGAACGGCACATGCCAACACAAAACTAATCTCTTCCTGCTCTCACCCTGCCAGACATTAACTTTCATTACAGCCCTATAAGCTCGACATTTTATAGAACACAATTAAGCATCTTATACGAACTTAATATTTTCGAAAGAAGCACCGAAATTCACAGTATTGTTGTTACGACTTCATAGCAACGAGGTGCGTCGTTTGGGACTCCCGTTAAATCCTGCCTTTTGTCGGATGATACTTTAAAACAAACGACGAATGATGTTTTAAATCAAATGTTTGTGAAATGGTTGTTGTGCGGCACTGTATAACATAAAACTCGAAGGCGATGGACAATCACTCCGCGTACGAAACACACGCTTACAAAGCGTCCGATAATGTCTCTAAACATGGAAGCTAAAATGACAGGAGAGTAGGATTTGAGGTTTTCACAGCGGTGAGCCCGAAGGCGGCTGTCTCATCACTCATCGCCCTGATGATGGCGGCAGCAAGGACTTTTGAAACGTTGGAAAAATTCTGGGAGTACTACGGCGCTACAATCCAGAAGGCAGCCATCTTCAAATGAGACTTACAGGCGTCATATATCTCTTACAAACTTTAGTAGGCAGTTTCGAAAGACTTGCGGTCATTAATCCGCATTGCAGTGTTATTAAGTACCACGCTTTCATAACGAACGCACGTCCACTTTAAAAAAACTGTGTTGTCACGCCAGGCCAAAGACACGGATACGCAATGGGGAAAGTTGGTCCATCAGCATAATGAAAATGGAACAAGGGGATGCCACAGCGCACCACACCCAAAGAATCTATAAATCGTAGATCACTGCTTTTAAACTTGTGGGTCGCGACCCAGCGATCATTTAATCAAAAGCAGTTCACCGTTTAAGTGATAAACGTGGGCTTCGTATAACGAAAACTTTCAGGCTGTGACATATGCCGTTTTGGCGCTCAGATGTTCCGTACCTCGTAATTTCATTTACGACGCGCAGGAGCGGAAGCTGCGCAGAAGAACGGCACATGCCAACACAAAACTAATCTCTTCCTGCTCTCACATAAAAATTAAGGCGAAACCTACACATTTTTGAGCTGTTGTGAATAATTTGTACACGTGCAAATTCAATTACAGTCCGTCCCTCGTCTCTTTACACCGACGAATTCTAATTTTTTGGGGGGAATTTCGGAGGGTTTGAAATGTGAATTAGTGTGAGAAATCCTAACGCTTCGTCCGTATTTAATATACTGATGCCACATACCACAGCACAAATGATTCGATGCTCCTGCAAATGCTACCGCGAGTAGTGTATTTATCACAACTACTTAATATGACCGAAGAAATTCGTTCCGAGTGATGATTCTGAAGTTCCCATAATGCAGTTGCCAAAATGTCTACCAGAACTTGTCCGAAAAGCTTTCCACAGATGCTCCAAGCGACTTTTCGAGACAGAGACACGGGCCCCAGACCTCCCTATCCACAATTATAACCTCGATAAATCCTCCAATGGCACAATACATTCAAACTAACAAATGTTTGGGGGCGTTTGGACTCGTGATGCTGCGAAACGACTTACGTATCGCATGCCGTGTGTCAAGCTCCTTAACCCTTTGAAGACGAAGATCGTCTGAATATTATTTATGAATTCAGTCCGTACCGCGAAGAAAACACTACACCTCACCATTACGAAAATCAGCTGGTTAACCCTTTTGAAGCCGAAGCTCGTCTTCATAATATTTACGAATCCAGACCGTACCGCGAAGAAAACACTTCACTTAACCATTAGAAGTCGAATCAGGCGGTACCACATAAGATTTAACAAAAGAACATCCCGGTCAAAGCCTTAATTATTACGGTTGTTAGTTCTTACGGAAATGTTAACAAAAATACTTGTCCTGGTGACTCAGTAGCTGAAACATGAAACAAATCCATGGTGAACAGGAACACCACAGACATGGATTAAAAAAAGAAGGGTAAATTTGATTAAGACGAGGAAAAGAACCTCAATTATTTTAACACCCAGTGGTACTTGTATGTACCACACACTTCAAAATTCAATAACTTTGTATTTTGCCCACACACTGTGTATTATTTACGAGTTTCATTAGATTCTAAGAACCTAATTTGTAAGTACTATTTAGATGAACATGTTGCTTTAAACGGTTAAGATGGATGAGCTGAACTGCAGTTTCATCCGACGTTGATGGAAACGGAGTCAGGACCGAACTTAAAATGCTAAGCATTAAAAAATGAAGCATTTTCCTGTGACCACAATGTTCGTGTCTCGACTGTAAGCACTTAATAAAAAAAAATGCACAGAATTCCTGAAACTTCTCGTGGACCAAATCCACAATGAAAATTAAATATCTGAAATAAACATAGACTTATATGTGTGTGTGCAGGTCTGACCTCAAAACCTCGTAACATACAAAATTTATGATACACACGGCGATGCAAGACAATATTATTCCCTCGTGTCCTCTTTTTCAGTTGGCCACACTGTATGTCCTATCATGTCTTCCGACTGAATAGTCGTATTCACCAGGAATAAAGGTGTTTTTCTTCTCATGGGCGTTCCCTATCTATTCCATACCCTTCCCTTCGACCACCATGATCGTCGGAATGCCGGGGGTGTGGGGGCATCTACGTAATTGAAGCCACTTGCTTGTATTACTTATGGACGTTGAATTCAACTTCGATATTTCTTTTTCTCCTAAACATTAATTCTTTAAAGCAAAAAGTTAATCTAAATCTGAATTCAGTTCTTACCTCCAAGAAAACATATCGCAATTCCATTTGTTACAGATGTTCTGGAATGTATTTGCCGTAATTTACTGAGTACCAAATGAAAGGCAAACACACTTAACTGGCCTAAATGCTATGTTGTTGTACAGTAATTAAACTGGAACACATTTTTACGTTGTTTTAAATAGTCAGATATTTATGTCCAACATGATACCGGATGTTGAAATTAATAAACAGCACATACTTTCAGTACTACAAATACTAAAGAAATCCTGTCCTACATTTGTTTTGTTCAACACATCATTCACGACAAACAGTCACAACTGAAATTCAGTACCAAATTCTGAAAATAAAAAATCACGTAGTTGACGTTTTCAGTACGCTTTTGCAGAAATGGAACGTAGTACGATTGTTCAATGCAAAATACACACAGCATCATAAATAGATTTTTAAAACTTATATACCTACGAATTTGACCATTAAATCAGATTAAGTCTATTTGTTTGCTACTCAACGAACATAACCTTAGTTTTGCTAATCTCGAGATATGTCACATTTTCTGATTACCATTCACTGAGTATTAATAAGATACTTCAATTTAGGCGTATCAAGTTGCACTTTGCAATGTCCGTGTTCATGGGGAAATCAGTATTGATAAAAAACGAACTGCGTTGAATCTACACTTCTGAAATAATTTTACAAGTTAATTCATAACCTGATTAAATACTGTTCATGGCAATGAGATTGAATTGTAGCTTTGTTTCTTACCTTATATGTAAAACTGAACACATGGAGTCTTGTCAAAAGCTTGATTCCATTTGTGAAGCTTCTTGAGCACATTTCCATGTTTCTGTCATCACGAAAAAATTATAAAACATTAACAATCCTTCTACTGAAATAAACTGTTCATCTCTGACATAATACCAATGTACAAGAAACTAAGCAGTAAATAATGATTTTGAAAGATCCTTTAGATTTATGATCACTGATATTTGATCTTGCAGTGTTCACAAAAGTTCACTTTAACAACAGAACACTGTGCACTGTCAGAACAACTTGAACGAATGTCTGACCTAACCTCAAAGCTGACCGACAGACACACCCATGTGCCGGTTGGCTCCTAGCCTGCATTGTTCCATTCACTGCGGCCTCCCATGAGTGAAATACATAATCAACTGAGCTATTTGCTAAGTAAGGTCACCTCTTATTTTGATTTACTGGAAACTGTACTTAAATATCAATTCTGTTATGAATTATTTACATTCAGTACACAAAGTTTAACTTCAATGACCATCCTCTCACTTTAAAAATTTCAACAACTTACTCTCCTTCTGTCATACTACATTCTGTTAAACACAACACAATAATAATGACAAATATATAAAAATAAAAAGAAGACCAAATAGTGGATTTTGATAGGCTTATACACTGGCAATTAAATGAGAATTATGCAACAGGACAGACAAATCTGAATTACTTAATGATGGCATTTAAGTTGTCATCCATATACGGTTTTATACATTTAATGTTTCACTATATAAAAAGTAAGTAGTTTTTTATATTTTTAAAAAGAAATCCAGAGCTCCCATATTCTATTTCCTGCCAAAAATCAATTATGATCATGGTGACAATGATAGTAAATTGCTTCCTTCATCTCAAAATTACCTCCACATACAGCCCTCATTAAGAACCATTATGTAAAAAAACATTTAGCTTCTGCAGAAATATTCTACGTACCTTGTCCATGCATTTATATTCAGGTAGCTACCCTAAAATTGTAATAAAAAATCCAAACACTGATTCACAAATGGTATTTCCATACAATACATCACTAGCTGTCATGCAATTCAACTGTGAAACAAGCAATTTCTACACATGAAAGCCATAATGCCAACTGTACCATCATTAATGTACCTTCAAAAAATCAATTGTATCCAGCACAATCTATGTTGCAACAGACAGAAGAGCCACCTGGAATGGTGCTTGGACAGAGGCAGAACTCAAGACAATGAATATTTATACAATGTTTTCAACACACCATTAAGTTTACATTGTGGTCTTCTGGTGAACCTTGATGATGGAGGTAGTATGTTCCTCCAAAACCACAAGGCATAACCTAAAACCTCAAATCCTATGCTGTGTGAGTGAAAACTAATAAACTTACCACTTTGTATTCCACATACCAACAATGCAGGTCAGGTTAGGTTAGGTTAGGTTTGGTCCAGTATACATTCTATCTGTACACTGTTTTTATAGTTATTTTGTAACCCACTTATAATTAAAACAAAAATATTATCAAATCTTAGGTTTTAAATGTGTCTGTATACTGGATTATGGCATTTTTGTGTGATTGAGGTATTTTCAATATTTATTTACTTTGATGCAAATCTGAATTCCTGGAGTATTTTTGCACAAAGTAGCTACATATAATGCGAAGGTCACGTACTACATCAGTATATTAAAATTTGATATTGGAATGCTCTACATTAAAAGTTATTGCATAATTTAATTTTTATTTGTACAACCTAAAATAACCCTTACTGTACACTGAGCTTCAATAAAAATAAAAATGACTCATCATATAAGAACTGACACAAAATTCTAAAACGGGGGTTTCTAATTGAGCCAGACCTGGTACTTGGTAACGAACATGTTATCCATTCGGAAAGCTGGGCTAAAAATAGCAAGCACGTCACTCTGCACACCAGCCAATAACATGAAACTGGGTCAGGCAGACACAGGGCACGGACGGGATCTCCTACAACTACTGTACACGGAGGACGAGGACAAAGATGGTACTCAAAACGCTGGCGTTTTCTTCATTAAGCCACCTTACACGGCTGGTAGCCCAAGAACAATTCATGACAGCCAACATATCTGAGTGAACATTCAACCTACCAACATCCTAATCAAAACAGTAAGATTTAATTGACTGCCTCAATACGCATAAGCAACAAAACCAGTGATGCAAGGAGTGGTACTCAGACTCTAGTAACGACAAAGTGTGGTTGGCTGCGACACAAAATGCGAGCGAAGCTGGCCGAGGCAATACCGACAGATGACGTGTCTGAATACTATAATGGATGCTGTATATCAGGGACTACAATATTTTCATTCACATCTGGAAAATAGTTCTTACCTATTTTTCTGATAAATACATTTTAACTGAACAATTCTTTTGAAGTTAAGGCAATGACACAAAGATTTCTGAACAGACATTATTGGTAAATACTTTCTTATTATTACATACCAATTACACTAGTTTTGACACAATTGAAAGTAGCAATGTAATCTCGCTTACACAAATGTACCTGCAGATAGTCTGAATACACACTCATCATCCTGGCGGGACAAAACTTGTTTGTAATTCAGAGATCAATGTCACGTCCTCGTCCACACTGATCGCCTGCGCAACCAATGTCAAGACTGGCCCAAAGTACTGATGATAAATTTAAATTGGACATAAAATGGACAATTATGAAGATACAGGAAATGTTATATTTGTGATGCATTTACAAGTTTTATGCGGACAATTAACAAAATTTTTTCTCAATATTTTCCTGGTATAAGGGAATCGTATCCAAGTTCATCTTATAGGATAAATACAGT